GTTCTTTAATAGGAAAAAAAAAATCACAAAGCCCACACCAGAACTAATTTTTGCAGCCGAAAGTGTTGCAGGCGCTGCCGTACCCCCGGACTCCTGGCAGCGTGGCAAAGCCCTGCTCGGAGTAGCGGGAAGCGGAGTTTTAGTTCTGGAAAAGCAGCCCAAACTCTCCGGAGGGCTCCGGCCGCCGCAGCGGCGAGAGAGGGGCCGGAGGGGAGGGGGGATTTTTTTCTTTCCTTTTTTTTTTTTTTTTTTTTTTTTTTTTTTTTTTTTTTTTTGACTCTTATGAAGACATGCGCATTTGTTCATTCTTGCCACCGCACTGGAGTCTGCCTAGAAACAAAGAACACAGCCTGGCGAAGTTGATGCTGGCTCCCGAAGTGTCTGGCTTTTTTTTTTTTTTCCCCTTTCTTTTTCTTTTCCTTCATTTACTTGTGCCATCGGTAAAAGCCTCGAGATGTTTCCTTCAATTATTCCCATGTGCCTGCTGATGGAAACACACACCCTCCCCGCCTCTCCCCTTGGCCCCCCTCGCCCCTAGCAGGCCAGGTTACGCATTTTGAAAAGTGCAGCCATGATAGACAGAGCAAGTTCTCTCTCCCATTTTGCCCCGGCCCCGCGGTGTGACAGCTCGCAGGAGGTGTGCCTTCTCACCGGGAGCCACCCCCTTGCTGAATCATCGCCCAGCCATGGCCGGACAGCTCGTCCGCCCGGGCAGCGGAGCGTTCCCCGGCCGAGCATGAGGCGCTGGCGGGGCTGACGCGAGGCGCAGACCTGTTAACATTCGGCTCAGGCGCGGGCGAGCGAGGCACAAACCTTCCCGTTTCATGGCAGCGGGAGCCGCGGATGCAGCTTTGAGCTCAAAGGCAAGACGTGCGCTGCTGTAAGGAATGTCCCCTGCCTTTGAGGTAGTGGAAGTCCGGCTGCCTGGTCCTGCCGCTTTTGCCTCTGAGAACTCCCGTCTTGCTCAGATAGGCTCCGTGTGCGATCAGCAGCGGGCTCGGGGAGTGATGTGCGAATTCGTGGTGTTGTGGCTCTTAGCTGTAATCCTGTATTGCGTTTGCATAGAGAAGTGTATGAACAGTAGTGTTGTGTCTGTGCTGTTTGCCTAAAACTAGTTTATTCTGCACTGATGGAGGTCATTGCCTTTGTTACTGCAAGGAAATAATGACTTAATCTTTATGGGGTTTGGGGTGCAAGTGTTAGATGCTGAGGTGTTGCGAGGTATCCCTGCCTCCATTCAAAGGTTGCCAAAAAGTAAGAGAGTAAGAGGTGGGATGAGCAATTTTCAGCTGGGGTGTATCAGGCAAGACTAAATTGCAGCAGTTGTTGGACATGTAACATGATCCTGTAATTAGAGTGAGGTTATAGTCTATACCATGTTGAAACTATCGGGTGTCTGCGCTAGATCAGTCTGAATTAAACTAGTTATTCTGGGATTATACAGAAGCAGAAGTAATGCAGTTAAAGTTTCCACAGAGCAGCTTCCATGGGGTTGCAGAGATGTTTTCCCCCTATGGGTCCTCCTTGCGGGTGTTTTGCTGTTAAGGTAATTGTGGAGGCTGCAATGGTGCTGCTTTCTAGGTTGGAGAAAGGCCTTACATGGCACAGTCCTGCTCCTTGGAGCTTAATTTACTAAAGAACATCCCAATCATGCATCTCTGGGAGGGAAGAAAATCCTGAAGGGGGAACTTGGAGGTTCAGCTTCATGCAGAAGTGAAGGACTTAAAGGACTCTGTAATTTGGTCTTAAAATTTCCCTGCCCCCATTACTCTCCATACCCCAAGAAAGATGAGTGGTAGCAAGTCTGGTGGAGAGCCTGCAGACTGTGGTCTTTTCAGTGCTCCTGCCAGTGGGGCAGGATCTTCCTGGGGTGGCTTCAGGCAGCTCTGGTTTGCTGTGGGGTTGTTCTGGTGTGGAGCTGCACAGGCAGACCTGGGGGCTGTGCAGGGTACAGTGTGTGGGCACCAGCTCTGCTCACGGGTGCTGATTTCCCCTGGTGTGTGTGTGTATATATATAGACATGGCACATATTTAAACGAAGTCATTTTAAAGTAGACATGGCCCAGAAAAGTTTTGAGAACTATTTCAGTGTTTTGAGTGTTTCTTTTTCAAAGACAATAGACTGTGCTGAAGCTTCTAGGTAATATGGAATGTGGTGATAGCAGGAGGAGCAGTCTACTTTGGGCTCACTTGGCCTTCCTAGGAGCAGCTGAATTTTATGTGTGCACCTGGTTCAGCCTCTTTACAGCTGTATGGCTGCTGCAGATCTGGTGCTGCCTTATGGGCCTTTTGGGATGTGTTGGCAGGGGCCCAGAGCAGACCTGGTGGTCAGCAAGGAAATTAGCTCCACAGTGCTGTAAATTGTCCTGCTCAGCCTCCTGCAGCATGTGGCCTGGTCAGCAGAACTCAGGCTGCCACATCCTTTCCACTGCTGTGAGGGACCCACATGGGGGAAGAGGGAGTGGATCTAAATCTGCCATTCCTCCCTCCAGTGCTGGACCATGTGCTGCAGGAAGGTTACTCACAGTAGGGGTGCTGGGCAGTTGTCCCTCTGAGATGTTGAATCCACACAGAGGATTTTACAGTGGTTTTTGTGCCTGGTTCCACATCAATGGAAGCCTTCTCTGCCCTCTTATTCTGTGTTAGGGAATGACTGGCATAAACCTTACACGTTATTCTTAGAATTTTGCGGACCTAGAAATTTTCTCCTGGGCTTGTCCTATCTTGGCAAGAGGAATACGTGGAGCTTAGAATTTTGCACTTATGATGCCATCACATTTGAAGTTTTGCTGTTCTGTTTAAGGGAATCTCAAAGTGCAACTCAAAAACTTGTGACTGCAGAGAGAGAGGATGGCTTTCTTGCTTTTTGCAGCATAGCTTGCAAATCAGTTTTGAACCTGGTGCTGTTGTACAAGTGGTCCTGCTTCTGGCCTTTTCCTCTAGCCT